CTGCACGATCCGGTGCAGGAGCTGGAAAGCGCGGCGTCAAAGCCCAGCGAAATGAGAAAAACCACACCCGAGGGCTACATAGAAATCCTGCCCAATCGGCTGTACTGGACCGCGGTGAATTCCACGCCGAGACCGACCTCGCAGTACCACTTTTTCTGCATCGACCAGGACTTGGTTTACGAGCCCTTCAACCAGGATTTTGGCCCGCTGAACCTCTCCTGCACCTATAAATTCGCCCGCTTGGTGAATAAACTGCTGGACGACCCGAGTTTGTCGAAGAAGAAGCTCGTCCACTACTGCAGCCTCTCGGAAAAAAAGCGGCCGAACGCGGCGTACCTGATGTGCTGCTTTCAGGTGATGTACCTGAACAATCCCGCGGAACTAGCCTACAGGCCGTTTGAGAACATCCGACCCCAGTTTCAGCCCTTCCGGGACGCGACGGCCGGCATGTGCAACTACGCGTGCACGGTGCTGGACTGCGTCAAGGGGTTGGAGTACGCCATGAAAATAAACTGGTTTAACCCGGAGACGTTCAACGTGCAGGCGTACGATTACTACGAAAAGGTGGACAACGGCGACATCTCCTGGGTTATGCATTGCAAACATGTCTGGGTCTGGAAGGTTGCAACTTGTAATGCTGTCTCTGCATTTTAGGAAAATCTGTATTGCATGATCAGCAAGAGGGGTCCAGTTTGTGCTTCATGGAGAGGGCATTTATCATGCGGAATATGCATTAGGAAGCCCTCCAAAAATCTGTGATGCTAGGTGATGCATTACAGGCATCGTGGGCCATGAAAAATCTGCATGACAACTCTCGCAATCTTCCAGACCCAGACATTTTTGCATTTCACATGGGTGATCCCGGAGAAATTTCTCGCGTTTTCCGGGCCCAGCGGGAACGGTATTGACACCTACGGCTACCCCGCCTTCACCCCCGAGGACTACGTGCCGATCTTCCGCAATGCGAACGTGTCCACCGTGGTGCGGCTGAACAAGGATCAGTACGATGCGGCGAGGTTCACGATGAACGGCATCAAGCACGTAGACATGTTTTTCCCGGACGGGAGCTGTCCGCCGAGGGACATTGTCAACCGGTTTCTGCGCTTGGCGGAATCTGAACCTGCTGCGTTAGCGGTGCACTGCAAAGCGGGTCTGGGGCGGACGGGCACTTTGATCGGGCTGTATGCGCAGAAGCACTACAAATTTCCGGGCCGGGCCTACATCGGGTGGAACCGGATCGCGCGTCCGGGCGCGATCCTCGGACCACAGCAGCAGTATTTGTGCGATATGGAAAGGGAAATGATTGCTCTGGGCGAGCAGGAGCGCGCGACGAAGGGACTGAATGGTCGCAATTTTCCATCAGTGTCTGGTAGCGGAGCTTCAAACTCATTAAACGCAGGAGCAGCACTTCGCTCCCTCACCGCCGCTGAGAAGAAGGAAGACGTCGGCCAGGGCGAGCGTTTGGTCGCAGCTAAGGCGAAGCAAGGTGCAGGTGCTGGTGCTCTCACCGCGAAGTCTAGTATCAGTGCGAACCTGCAAGCGAAGTTGACTTCGAACGTCAGTGTTGGGGGAACTGGTTCGTACATCAACCGTTTAACCGGGAGCGAAATCTCCTTTTCTCGGTTCAGTCCGGGCCTCTCCTCGTCCAGTTCCCCGATGAAGCTCCTCGGACAGAAGCGCAGCGACAGTCGGCCAATCATGAAGGGAATGTTCGGGCCGCAGGGGCAACGCCC